CCCCCCCCCCAGCCACATCAACAGACTGAGCAGCACAGCGGCGCCGCTGGAGAAACCAGACAAACCCAGCTATCAGAACGGCCTGAGCGTGTCCGACAGTGGACAGTCCTCCTCCGGGAAGAGCTGCTTGTCCTATCAGAGACTCTGTCAGACCACCGTCCAGCCGTCGCCCTCCACCGACGACATTATCCAGGACCTGGAGGACCGACTCTGGGAGAAAGAGCAGGAGGTGAGGAGCACATACAGGCATGGCCAGACTTACCATTGGGCTTGAATGGGCTGCAGCCCAGGGGCCCCGCCTTGTAGGGGGCCCCGCCTTAACCCGTTTACATTTGTTCAGTTATGTGCCAGTCAGAAATTATTAGCCGCATTTCAACTGCGCGCAGGGCCAGCTGGGGCTAACAAAGGACACACGTATTAAATCACGTCTGCGCTGCGCTGAATCGCCGATTAATTTGTGATCACATGGCGATTTTAAACGGTTCCATTAAGCCTTTAGCCCAAAAGAGCGCACATTTAGAAAGATAATGATAAATTCTCACATGTTCACGCCTCACTTCTTTACAGAGGATGATTCTATATTATATTAATGTTCCACTAAATTAATCTGAAGAGTTTTGAGCGCTCTCTCCCGTCCAAAGACTATAGAATACCCTAATATCTTACAGTCTCACTACCTCCACACAAAGTGGAGCAGAAATTCAATCAAAACGATTTAAAAAAATTAAAATAGCCATTTACAGGGTTTGTACGGTCATGAAAAACCCAGAAAGCTTTGGAAAAGTCGTGGAAATTTATTTTACAAATCTCTATATAATAGAATATATGTTTAATCACGTCCTGAATCTCGGTGCGGGTTCAGCTGTACCACGTCTTCTCGCTCTCACTCTCTCAAAATTGCCTCACATCAGCGCATCTGGTCTGCACTAAGATAGCTGCTGCACGCTGCAATACAAGACTTTCGCTCAGCTGACAGAACTGTCACTTGCCTAATCGGGTCAGTGTTGCATCATCACAAAAGTTTATCATTTGCACGTCTTTGTAAGTCTTTTTAAACTATTCGGTACTTACGCGCTCCAAACTACTTTTCTGGGAGCTCACGGTCACATCCAAAGCGCGCGCACACGAAACCTCCTCACAAACACCTCAAGAAAAAGTTATTGTTTTCATTGTTTCTGGCAGTTTATTCCATTTCTGCAGCATTTCTGTACCTGAATGTTTTCCACCAAAACTGGTTCTAAAACGAAATTCAGGTCCTGAGTTTAATTTATATTACTGGCAAAGCAAATTACAATATACTTAACATTCTGGCATTCAGTTATGTGATTATTTATTAACTTATGTTCTCTGCATGAAGTAACGTCTGGCACAGTCGCAGCCTGTGCTTATTAGAAAGCAAACAAATAGCATTAATAATCATTCATTTTCCTTAGCATATGCTATGATAAATCTGAACATTTGTGTAAAATAATGGAGCATTAGGTCATGAATATTGCCTTAAAAGTCATTGAAATTTATTGGTTGAACGAACCCTGCATTTAATGAGTGAATGCCTACGATATAGGAGTTAGCCTATCACACAAACTAGAGTCCTGTTTTTTAGTGACTATTTAATATTACATCTAAACTTTGACTAGGCTAGGCATGTTGCCTATTCATTGTATACAGTATATGAACCTGAAAGCATATTTTAATTTTTGTGCATTTTGTGTTACTCCATAATAATGTTCTAGTTGACGGCATTTGTAGTATAGGTATGGGGCCCAAACATAACCTCAGGCCCAGAGGCCCCCGGCTCCGTAAGTCCTGCCCTGCATACAGGCCCTTAAATATGTGTCCCTGCAGCACAAAAGCAGTCTTAAGTCGCTGGGGTATATTTGTAGCAATAGCCAACAATACATTGTATGGGTCACAATTATACATTTCTCTTTTATGCCAAAAATCATTAGGATATTCATCCTTCTGTCTCTGATTGATAGTCAGTGTTGGGGAGTAACTAATTACATGTAACAGAATTACGTAATTTGGTCCCACTTTATATAAGGTGGCCTTAACTACTATGTACTTACATCAAAAAATAAGTACAATGTATTTATTGTGTTCATATTATATGGCAAAACACTTTTGCTGCTATTGAGGTGGGATATGGGTAAGGTTAGGAACAGGTTTGGTGGTATGGGTAGGTTTAAGGGTGGGTTAAGGTGTAAGGGATGGGTCAACAGTGTATTTATAAATGTAATAACACAAATTAATTACAGATGTAATTACATACAGTTTTAAAAAATAAAGGTGCTTCACGATGCCATAGAAGAACCTTTTTTTGACTAAATAGTTCCATAAAGAACCTTTAACATCTGTTTCACAAAAGCTTCTTTGTGGCTAATTAATATTACTCAGTACTTAAATGTATAATTACACTGTAACAAGGACACCTTAAAATAAAGTGTAACCCAAAATAAATGTAATTGTAATCAGTCAACGTGTAATTAAATTACAGTTACTTCTGAAAATGTTAACCATTACAAAAGGGGTTACATCTGAATAGTTTCACACACATACAGATTTAATTGATTTCTTTCCCAAAATGCTCTGACTGCTCTAAAATATGAGACACCAATGTTTCAGGAGAATTAAATTACAGTTACTTATGAAAATGTTAAGAATTACAAAGGGGGTTTACATCTGATTTTTTTCCACACACTCCCACATACAGATTTAATTGAGTTCTTACATAAATTGCAGTGACTGCTCTAAAATATGAAACACCAATGTTTCAGAAGTTTATAACATGCTTATTCGATAGGGTTTATGTATATGCTTCATTTTAAGATTAACATTTTTTTCTAAGGCATTGTTAGATTCCAGTTTTTCCTGTCATAGCTATGATTTGATTTCAAAAACAGTATCATAGCCATTAAACTATTTCTTGTTATGGTTTTAAAACTGTATTTAACTTCAGAATGATCTCAAAGTAAAAAGAGGTGCTAAAGTCTGATTTTGTGGTGGCTGTGCTTAAAAAATTCAATTATTATAATCTTAATTCAAGTAATGAAGTATTTTGTAAGTCTGATATTAAGGTTAACCCTGCTTGCTTTAATTGTTAATGTGATTAACAGTTGAAAACATTAGAAATTTTGAAAAGTATTTAAAAAGTAATCAAATGTAATCAGTTACATTACTTTAATGAAGTAATTGAAATAGTTACACTACTTGTTACATTTTAAATTGAGTAACTTGTAATCTATAACCTGTTACATTTCCAAAGTAACCTTCCCAACACTGTTGATAGTTTAGGGTTTTTATCCAGTAAAAGCTCTTTTAGTGTAGCTCTTGTAGAAACATCCAGCTTCTTGTGCTTCACATGTCTTTTTTCGTTATATATATATATATATATATATATATATACGTATAGTACCAGTCAAATGTTTGGACACACGAATGGGAAAGTGTCCAAACTTTTGACTGGTACTGTACTATAATATACACAAAGAATATCGGCCGATATATCGATATCGGTATCGTTATCGGCCCCAAAAACCCATATCGGTCGGGCTCTATAATCTATATGAGCCATAAAACCTGATGCATCAAACATGATACTCAAAGAAATGGTCACAAGTTACGGCAATAACTTCCATTCACGTATTCATTAGATATTTTAGCTCTGTTTTAATCTTAGATATTGATTCTAATTACATTTCCCATCAAAGCAACACTGTGCAGTGTCTCTCAGCAAAATGTATCTTGATTTTGTCTTTCTGAATATTACTTACTTTTTGTTATAAAGCGGAGAGTTCCGGTCCTTGATTCTGATTGGCTGAGCCGCGTTCGAAGCTGTTGTAAATGACTCTACAAAGTAACATACGCCTTTGTTTACGTTTGTCTGTTGCTCGGCAACCACTTTGTTGCAACCACAACTGTTTCTGAGGAGCTACATTGTTTGGTGGAAGAATACTGTTTTTATTAATATCATTACACTTTATTTGCTCTGTTTTATTTTGTGAAACCTAACTATGTATATGGAATAACCGTTTTATAAAAGCGATAAGCCCCGTGAAGCCGTGGTTTACAGTGAATTTATTACAGCTAAGGGGGTTTTAGGGGGTCTAACAACGACCTTAGCTGTTATAAATTCACTGTAAACCACGGCTTCTTGGGGCTTATTGCTTTATTTTAAACTCATGAAGATTCTAGACTTTTACAATTTTGGTAACACTTTACAATATGGTCTTAAAAAAAATATATATATATTTTTTTTTTACAATATTAACCTTTGTTAACGTTAGTTAATAAAATTGTCATATTAGTTCACCATGCACAAACTAATGTTAACGGATACAACTTTAGATCTTAAAAATGCGAAACCTGAGAAACCTGCAAATGTGAAAAAGGTCCATGGCTATGTCCAAGCAGAAATGGTAGCAAAATGATCATTTAAATGCTATTTGTCGTAAATGCATTTAGACTAACAGTTAGAACACTTAGGATTGCATTTTCATCATGACGCCGTGGGATATTTGTAGCAAAATTCAGTGCTTCCATACATGGCAGGCTGAAGAAACCTGTACCTGGAGTAAATGACTGTGATTGTTCCTCAGGTGATCCACATGCGGCGTAACCTGGACCAGAGCGAGGCGGCCATCGTGCAGGTGTTCGAGGAGAAGCATTGCGTCTGGGAGCGAGACATGGAGGAGCTGAGGCAGAACTACGCCGGCCGTCTGCAGCAGGTGACCCACCGAGCCCAGCGCACACAGCAGGCCCTGCAGACCCACATTGCCCGTCTGCAGCAGGCCAAGGGCCGGCTCCAGGACG